GATGGAAATAAACAGAAAATTCCGAGGCAATAATATTATCCAGTACAGTTTTCCAGACTGTCCATGGACGGTATTCAATCCTTCCCCCAGGGGTTGGGGGACGGAAATCCCTTTAAATTTGTTTTTAACGATGTAGTTTCTTCATTTTCAATGCATGCTTACTGTGACATACATACATACATTAAACCTAGGCCCTTTATCAGGACAATCCCAGTTGGGAAGACAGAGAAAATTTAAAGGGATTTTCGTCCCCCAACCCCTGGGGGAAGGATTGAATACCGCCCCATGTGGCTGACTTTCCATATTCTCGGTATAAATTTTATCTAGCGATCATCCATCCATTGAGCAGCCTTTCTGATGAGAGGAGTCATAGTGTGCTCTTTGAGTGGGGAAGAGGGACAGCGCTTCATTGAATTCGTTTTTTGTTGAGGAAAAATCTTTCTTGAATTTTGAGAGAAGTAGAATTTTTATTTAATAAATAATGATAAGTAATAGATTTAAGAAATCTATTCGAAGTTTTGCTGCTCCCCGTTTGCCCATCCATCCTCGCTCACCAGGGCTTCTTGAAGAATAGCTCAGCTTTAGGAAGTACCAAAGACTACCATGGGAAGTTCGAAGGGGGTTACAAGATTCTCCGAGATTTATCCAGCTCAATAGTTGACCCTGAGTCGAAACTTACAAGGGAAGGGATGGTAGGTCGAAGTGGCCGTATAAAATGAGATGTATACCACCTGATGCGTCTCCAGACGCTGATTCCAAATCTGCCTTCCAAATCTGCTAAACGGCTCTCCGAACGGAGTTATGAAGCGTAATAGCTCAGTGGTGATGGTCCGGGGTGGCAGGTAAAAGCTCGTAGGATCGGTTCCTTTGCAAGTTTGTTGCTTTGCTTTTGTCCGCAACACTTCTAGAGACAAAAGCAAAGCAACCAATTTGCAAAGGAACCGATCCTACGAGCTTTTACCTGCCACCCCGGACCATCACCACTGAGCTATTACGCTTCATAACTCCGTTCGGAGAGAGCCGTTTAGCAGATTTGGAAGGCAGATTTGGAATCAGCGTCTAGAGACGCATCAGGTGGTATACATCTCATTTTATACGGCCACTTCGACCTACCATCCTTCCCTTGTTAAGCTGGCGTCAATGTGGGTCCGATGAAACCCTGCGAGTTCACGGACAAGGCAGGCACCAATTGCCCGCATCGTGTGGAGAGTTATTCTACTCTGAAGGCTCAGTTAGTCTGACGTGTGGTCGATCTTTGCCGGCCAGGGAAGTCAACCGTGACGTTTCGCACTTTCCAAGAAATTTACGGCGACCGCCCCGCCCCCTATATTTTTAGGAGAGTCTGGACTCGACCCCACCCGACCATCATGAGATTACAGGAGCTCCGCTATACGACCACCCCTTCTCCTGGCCAGACTCACCTGCGCAATCGAATGGCTGTTTCAATACATTAAATTCTGAGGATTCAGTCGACCAACACAGCCCAACTCCGCTCACTTTCAACAGCGTCTTCTAGGGGGTATATTGGTGCAACAAAACGGCGCAAATTTTCTCTCTTTCCATCTACCCGTACACGCGGCCTACCTATCCTCAAAATCACAATATGAATCCCCCACAAAAACCAATCTAAATCGCCCCGTCATTCATTCGATTACTTAATTCATTCATTAATTCAACCAATTACTCCCACTCAACCTTCAATGCGATCCCCCCCCCCCCACTTCCCAAAATCAACCACAAAGGCGACCCAATCTTTCGAATAGTTCGAATGCACGGTTGACCTTGCTTATGGTCTCGGCACCATTTTTCTAATTGCAGTCTATGCAAATGTGAAGTCCCGTTTCTCAACGAAAATACTCCACTTTTATCAAATGTTATCTCTTCAGGCCAGGGAACTGCTCGACGCATCACATAGCGGAATGGAAGACGTAAAGAAAAGAGTGCTAGAGTTCCTCGCTGTCCGGAAACTCAGCGATTCGGTCTGTCCGTTCACTTTATCCATGTGGACGATGCGCAGATGGTAGTAAAGCTATTTTTCAGGTCACCGGTCCGATTTTGTGCTTCGCAGGTCCACCAGGTATTGGAAAGACAAGTATCGCAAAAGCCATCGCACAGTCGCTCGGACGCAATTTTGAAAGGTCTCAATCATGAATCCTTTTCTAGTAGCAATGGTAATATGGGCATATTCCTTAAAACTAAAGTGAATCTGTGAATATCTGCGAGCTTTTTGACAAGGACGTAGCAGTGATTAGTTCCTAGGACTGCTTCATCTTTTGAAAAATCTTATCATTGGGTAACTAACCTTTCTCTTTTTTGCCAAACCATAGCTGAAGGCTCATTACACGAAAGCATGATCTGACTATTGGGATCTATGGAAAACTGCACTCCGTCCGTGATGTGCTACGGAAGAAAAAGTAATTGGTTCAAAAAACATAAAAATTGCTAAATCAAGCCTCATTTCTGTAGTTTTAGCAGTAAGGCACTATGGGGTATTTGCTGAAGAAACCGCGTATTCAAACAAGATCCTGATGAGGTAGAAGCGAGACTGGCTATAGACGTGAGAGGCCCAGACACTGCAGACAAGCAGACAGCACGGCTTCTATTTCCGCCGATTTAGAGTCAATTCTTTCGGTGACCTAGCCTGGAAATAAGGGGGAGGGGGCGGAGGTGGATGAGGATTGCTGCAAGCCATTGATACCCCCAAGTGAAACACTTCAAGCCGCAACAACAGCATAGTCCGGTGTTAGTACCAGTCTACCTGAATGCGGAGGGTTCTGTCACAAAGGCAATTGAGCAGTGTGCCTTCAAGTAGCCTTAGTTCGTTGAGGTTCCAAGGTTGCTCATAGACAGAGCGGGAAGCTGGTTGTCGGTATCTCATAATTTCTCCTTCTTTTCGCTTCAAATGGGGTGTCCCCAAGAGGCCCGTCGCGCGGCGAAGGAAGAGACGCAGACGCGGCAAAGGACGAGTCGCAGCGCATACTGTAGCGGTTAGGCGTCAAAAGAGTGTACCATACTACGTCTCATATCGCACAGCACGCGCTGCGACTCGTCCTTTGCCGCATCTGCGTCTCTTCCTTCGCCGCGCGATGGGCCTCTTGGGGGACACCCCTTTAAAAACTAACATAGATCTATGTCCGGAGGGCTGGGCGGTTTTGATGGCGTCATTGAACGTCATTGGTGGAAGGGCATTGAGAGGTGGCCCATCCACATACCCCAGCACGCTGAATGGTCTCCGCCGAACATCGCTTCTGACTCTAGACCCACACAGCCCTCAATCCATCGTGATCACTGATTTTAGGAACTTCTTATAAGTGTATTTTCCAAGGTATGAGAGAGCAATCGAAATTCTTGCTTTTTGGATGTTTTTGGGCCTTCGTTTCGAGACTCATAAGGTCCTTCAGAATATCGGTAAGGTCTGTCTTCAGGAATCTCGCTCGGTGGATATCTGCGGACGAAAAGTGCATATTCGTGTCATCGCAAGGACTTACGTGGCAGCCATGTGGCACGAATTATTCGAACCGCCCTGGAAGATGCCCTGGCAAAGCTAATAATGGTCCACTCTATAGCGCCTTGATGAAGTCGATAGGCTGGTTGAGTGTTTTGGACGGAGAATAACAGCTTCTATTTAAAAATTGTTTCTGCTTGAAAGCTAACTGGCTACACACGATCATTTTAGTTATACTCTGTCTTCACGAGGGTTGTTCGACCACGTCGGCTGCTTGCCTGGAGGTGTTGGATCCTGAACAGAACAACTCATTTACTGACCAGTTAGTTTCTATTAGGATAGCGTTTCTTTAGTGCTCGAAGACATCGAGCATTGTTTAGCTACCTAAATCTCCCATTCGATTTGTCCAAAGTGCTTGTTTATCGCCACCGCCAACGACTGTCGAAAATCGAGGGCCCACTTGCGGATCGCCTTGAGGTAACAAGCTTCTTGAATTTCGAGCGGTCACCATCGAGGAATATAGAGCTCGCATTAAATAAATCATTTTCAGATTATTGAATGATGACCGGATATTCGACGAAATGAATGAAGATAGAAGATTGCCAAAAATCGGCCACGCACCGGAGAATTAGTTCCTCGTACAGTTACCCCAAGCATGGAATCTGCCGCGGATACATTTACGGGATACAAGAAAGAAAAGAATGCCCTTTCGAGTTATTTGAGTGAAGATCCGTATTGGCAATGGAATGATGATCCTCTACAGGATCTAGTGGCCAGTTCTGCGCGAATGCCATCAAAAGTTCCGGCCTTTTGGTCAATTATTCAAGTTCCCATGCATAGCGTGCACTGACCCGCGTCGGAGCCAGGGTCAAGCGAGGCGTCGAGGAAAATTCGGAAATACGACCCCCCCCCTCTGCCGAAGGCCGAAGTCCATGAAACAACCCTCTTTAAAAGCCGAACTATGAAAAAGTTGTTTAATTCTCCACCAAAACTGCTCATAAAAAAGCCCTGCTACCCCATCGTCCACAAAAAACTCGTTTAAAAAGTATAAAAGTGAAAAAGTCAAAGAATGATCATTAATGACGAGTCCTGTCAAACGAGCAAACGAGAAACGGAGCAAAAAACGTCAAACTAGTCACTAGAAATGGCGTACTATGACAACACCTCTTCTTTGTTTATTTCCTCCACAAGACTTACCAAATTCTAGTACTACACAGATTATGGTTCTCAATTTACACGTCCCCCTTTCGCTCAAAGGAAGCCTTGTAAAAGCCTTCGCCAGCTGTGTGTTGACTGGACTTTGGCGTTGACCGTGGAGCAGCTTATTTACTATTGAAATTTGAACAAATATTCAAATGATTATAACTTTCTTCAAAGTTAACGAATTTTCAATCTGAAAGCTGATTTGGGAGTTTTGTGAAGAGCTTTTTCTAATCAGTACTGAAATTATAAGAAATAACAAATTTAGATCAAATAACGAGGAAAATTCGAGACGAGCACGAGTTTTTACACTTTCCGGAGCAATAACTTGCTTCATTTCCGTTCAAAAAGTTGATACGTCATACAAAACTAGAAGATTTTCTCTATCAAACGGTCGCTAAAGCAGCTTCATACGTCCAGTACTCAAAAAATGGCCACGTTGAGGATTTTTGCAAAATTAACGAGGAAAATTCGTGATGAGTGCGAGTTTTTACGCTTTCCAAAGCCATAACTCCGTTCAAACTCATGCAATCTGGAAAGTTAATACGTCATCATAAACTAGAAGATTTGCTCTTTCTAGAGGCAACTAAAACTGCTAAATACGTTCACTATTTAAAAAATGGCCACGTTGAGGATTTTGCCCGAGTTGTATCCGCCGAATGGACTTTTTCGCCGTACAGTTACACACTAATCAACGCTAAACGACTATATGGCTTCCTGCAGATGAAACTATATACCTGCAGTAAAGCAGATTCAAAATCCTCGTGCTTTTCTCTCTGCAAAAAGTGTAAAATTGTTTAGCGGGTCTCAACTTTAAAGGTTACATGCTTGTGAATTTGACGCTGAAGGCTGCGTTTCTTGTTGAATAGTGTACTCCTCTCTGTAATTTAACATGAACTCTTTCAGAACCCTCTTGATTCTTCCTGAATTAAGATTCGTTATCAAGATAGCCGTAGCTGAAGCGCGCGCAACCAACTGGGCCCACTCTGGGATGCGCCGTGTGCTTCACATCTCGTTGGATTTGAGGACCTACTTGAAAGATAAAATATCCCTAGAAAACGTGCGAATTTCGGATCCTTTGACTTGTGTGGTGATGAAACACTAAAGTCACTAAGAATTGCTAAGCGGATCGTATAACGAAGTT